CCCCCCCAGCCGCTGGGCTGCGGTGGCTGCTGGCAGAGGGTCAGGAGATGTTTTGGAGGAGAGGACGCCCACACTCGCGACGTTCGGGTTCAGTTGGAGCGGAGCTTTGCAGCACTGCGGCTCCAAAGCCGCTGACCTCCGGTGTGGCCGGGCCGTGGCTGGCGGGGACACCCCCCCGCGCCTGCCTGGTTTCTGGCCGGCCCCTCTGCCCTTCTCAGGCCGAGGGCCGGCAGGGAGCTGCCGGGCTCTGCGGGCAGGGACGAGGCGCAGACTTGGATGCGCGAGAGGAAGCCGGGAAGGGGACTGGGAGTTTTGCTGGCGTCCAGCAATACCTACTTGACTCCAGACCTGGGCTAACAGAAACCCTGGTTGCATTGGGGTTCATTCTTATAGTAGCCCAACGTTGAAGCATCGCGTAGGGATGTGTAACACAATGGCTGCCTTACGGGAGCCATCCAAAGCACTTAATGTGCGCAGAGTATGTTCCGGTGGAGTTTAGGCCTGGAGGAAAGCGTGCTCTGACCCACTGGCTTTGTACAACGCTTCTCAAGGTGTGACAGTTTTTAGGCAGCAAACAACGTGCTGCTACACAGCCATTGCTGCTTTTGTCTTCCCCAGCCCCCCCGATAAAAAAACTGGAAAACACTTGGCTGAAACCTGCATTTATGTTGCCTTGTCTTTAGACCAGGAGCTAGGGAGCCTCTTCAGCTTGCAGCCTTCAGCCTTCAGTTTGTGCAAAATCAGTACTGTATTGTATTTTTTTTTAAGCCTGAGAAATGTGCAAAGCTTTTATTTGCAGGTGATGGGGAGGTGCATTACAAAGCAGTAAAGTAGTTTTCTTTTTTGGGGGACAAAACGAGGGCTTGCTGGTAGCTCTGTAAATAGCTGTGAAAATCCCTCCGAAGGGTCTGGGCTCAGGCAGGTTGCTCCGTGCAGGCCAGTCCCACCTCTCTGGTTTCTTCTTTACCTCAGAGTGCGCAGTGTGAGTGACTGTCTGCGTGTTGCTGAGTTTACACTCATTCTGCGTCGGTCAAATGACAACTGAGAGGAGCAGAGGAGTTGGTTGCATAATCCTTTACCATATGTTGTCATTTTAAACAGTGTTGTTATAAATTTTATAGCTCCTAACACTGGAATAGAGCTGACTTCGGGCTCTTTCATGTTTGGACTGTGAACTGCATCCATTACCACTGAAGCCTGGTTTGTGGCCATTTATTCCCTTGCTAGAACCTAAACTAAGGTTTGCCTTTTTCCTTTTATTAAGTTATAGTGTTAGAATTTACTCTCCCCGACAGGAGGGGAAGAATTAATCCTGCTGCACAAATTGCCTCGGTACAATTGCCTCAAAGTTACTCAGTTTAAATGTAATGGTACAGTTTGTAGGTGTTACCTGGGTGTTCCTCTGGAAGTTTATTTGTACTGGGAGCAGAGGTGCACCCGCCTGTGCACTGGGAGGGTTCCTGAACTAGCACCGAGTCTGCTCACGGCGATAGCAGCAGCACGCAGCTCAAAGGGCGGGCGAAATTCAAGCTGTTCTTGATACCACGGCAAGAGCAGACGCCCGGGAGCGTCTGTAGGAGCTGAGGTCCTGGTATGTTCTGAGAGTCCTCTGACAGCTTTAGCCATGTGCATGTTGGTAACCTGCTAACTGGAGAGCAGACAAAATGTAGAGCCTCAATTGTTTAATCGACAGCTAATTTAGCTTTATTTATTTGTGCATTTCTGGCCTGATGTGCATGTTCTCAACAGAAACAGAACGTGTTTCTTTTGCACTGACGTACACAGTTTATGGTCTCAGCACTGGACTGACGTTGCATTAGCAGTGGTACCTCTTGCTGTAGATAAACATTTTATGGTTTAGCGTAACACTGTGTGTTATAAATCTATGCATGGGAAAGGGCGTTCACTGCAACTACCAACTTGCTTGTCAAATGAATCGGGTGGGGAGGGGGAAGCAGTGGGAGATTCTTGCCTTATGAACACTGTGAATTCACTAACTGATCAGCAACACCTGAAAAATGTAAAGCTTTTAATTAAAACCATTAAAAAAAAAATCTTTTACACTGTTGGCTTACTTTTAATAAAGAGCGGGGGAGGCTTTGAGAAGGACACAGGCAAGTCCTGCCAGAGAAGCTGTTACAAGAGGCAGGTCAAGGTCTGAGAGCTTTGCTTTCTGACAGCCCTAAGCTCAAGGTCAGCAGCGACTGAGTGAGAGTTATCTCTGACGAGGGTCCGGGCAAGGTTTCAATCTGGGCTAGACGCAGTAACCAGCTCCATCTGTTTGTATTTGCTCTGAAGGAACAAAGCAATGCGGCAGCTTTGTTTTCAGCTTTTGTCCACTTAACTCTACTTTCTGCAGTCCTTCTTCCTCACATAGCAGTAACTGGAAAAAGGAGAAATAGTGAAGTGATTCAATAGTGCGATTCTGAAGTTCATATTCGCTTGCAGCTACCGCAGTAACAAGGAGAGATGCCACGTCTGCCAGTGTCCCTTCCCCTCGAGTTCAGGGACAGCTGCAAATCCTCCCACTGCTGCCTTCCCCTCCCCATACGCATTGTAACTCCAGAAAAACTGATGTTCAGATTCAATAGACCAAAACTGAGTTATTCATTCAGTTGTTTTTCTGTGAATAGTTCTGAAAATACCTCTATGTAAAAATACAGATAGCAAGACAGGCACACATCATCTCCAGTAACAAAAGACCAAACCTGTTTCACATCCGTCTCCTGGCAAAGCAGGGTAATTTGCTGCGTTAAACCAGATGTGTTTTTACTAACCTCTCAGATTGTCTGGTAAACTACTTGTAACGATTACATCTCACAGCCGCCTTCTATTAACTTCCTTGGAAAGAAACTTGGCAATAAATTCTTACTTGAAACACTGTAAAAAATTGTTTTCTCTGAACTTAAGGACATTATCCATCAGTAACTGGCTGTTGAGGATGGGGTAGATGTGATAGCTCTGTGATTCTCTCTGCTGTGTATTTAGGGAGAGAAAGAGAGAGATATAATTGCCCATAGTTATAGACAATTGTTATAATTAAAGGGGAAAAAAAAAAACCAAACCTCTAGCTTTTTCTTCTTGAACATTCATTCAAGTCACCTTTCAGCAGGCACTAAAACCAGCCCTAGAGCTGATGCTTCTCAGGGGACCCCAGGCTGCAGGTACCCACCCCCCTGAGAGGGCAAAGATGCTGCAGCTGGACCTCAAGGGCAGCCACTCAGGGGCAGTGAAATGGAAAAACAGAACCCGAGGTCTAATTAGAGCATTTATAACTAAATGAGGATGTCCCGACTGAGACAGCCATAAAACTCAGTGCTGTGAAAATACAGCAAGGCCTGGATGAGGAATACTGTCATGTAGCATCAAGCTCATGTCGGGGAGGCTGCAGTCTACTGCAGTCCTTCAGTACCTTAAATTCGTCAGTTCTGGCAGCAAGAGGGTTGTAAAGGGAGTGCAGATCTAGTCCTTAAAGACTGTGTAGAGGCCAGGATGCATCACTGCTTCTTTTGACATGCGTTTTAAGTCAGTGTTTGGCTTTTATTTACATCACTTCAATAATCATAAAGCTACGGGAATTAATATTGCCTGCCTATATATGCACATTACCTTCTCATCCCTAATGAGAGTTGGAAATTGCACAGAACTTTAGCTGTCATTTGAGAATCTTAAATACAATTGAGTTAAAAAAGGCACTGAGCATCTGTAGCCGGGCTTCACAGCATCAGTCTTCACCATTTGATGTTAAATCCAGTGCTTGTTTTCTCCACTGCGTGGTACTCTGTATGTAAAGCTTTCGCAGCCTTTTCTGACTCCACACCACCCAGCCACTGCTCATACAGTTCATTTACAGTCCGGTTCTTCTCTGGAATTTCAGTCTTAAGAGACTCATACAACCTCTCAACTTGCTGAAGCTGGTCCTTGCTGGATTCACCATCTAGTTTGATCTGACCACCTCCATTTAAACAGCCTATGTGCAACAAAGTGAGAAAATGTCACTGAGTTTAGAAGGCACTTCAGCTTTATCAGGAAAAAAAAAAACCCAAACTACAGTTAATTTACTCCACACCTGCAACCAGTTACAGAAATGAAAACACCATTATAATTGTGGTTTACTCCCTAGTTATCTAAGGCCAGCAGGGTGGGCCACAGCCCCGGAGGAGAGATTGTTGGCCTCGTGTGCCCCGGTGCTAATTCAGCCTGCAGCCAGCTGTGACAGAGGGCTGCCAAGGGATGGGCCAGGGAGACAGAGGGAGGGAGCTCTGCCTCCAGCAAAGGGCCAGAGCACAATCCAGGTGAGAACAGCCTTGGAGTCTCAACTGAAGGTAAGATAAACATGCCTGGGAGGTGTTTGGGGTTTGCTGTTGGGGTGGAGGTGTGCTACGCAGTGCGGGACTGCCCAAAGCAGTGTCCTGGTGCTGAGCAGCCTCCTGGGCTGGGAGCTATGCAGGCCCTTGGGGAGAGAGCAGTTGCTCAGAGTGCCAAAAGTGCTTGGAGTGCTCAGCATCACTTCAGGCTGGGTTCAAGCTGCCTGTGGTCTCTGCTAGCAGATTAGATTCAAAGAGAACCAGGAGGCAGAGAAAGGAGGGCTTCCACAAAGTGGGAAAAGGAATAAAACAGGTAGAAAGAGACTTTCTTCACCAGCCATAGCAAGCATTCCCTGAAAGCATAATGGTCAATTTTGTGCAATTTTAGAGGAAGAATTTCCTTATATAGCACAGAGCTCAGAAAACCAGGGTGACCTCCTTAAAAGCACTAATTATGCAAATTTTGTGCAATGGAATTTAACTGTAGTTACTTAAACCCTGAAGAATTACTAGCTTCTAGGTAGGAAAACGTACAAACAACCAACTTCGAAATTCTGATGCTGTGACTATCACATCTCAAGAGTTTGAAGGCTTTGCCGCAATATTCAGGATGTGAGAAACTGCCTACTGTTCCTGTATTTTAGGTATAGTTTCATATAACTTCTTACAGCTACAGCTTCTAACAGCAAAACCCCTGTGCAGTCTTACCTGATGGGCAGGCCATGACTTCAACATAGTGATAGGGTGATTTCCCTCGTTTCAGCTTTTGCACTAAGTTCTGTATGTTTCGAAACCCATATGCCAAAGCAAACTGGAGCAGGACTACTCCATCCTTCTCCAGCGTCACCTCCTGGAAGTCCTTGTTTCTGAGGAACAAGAACAGAGAAAATCTCTTACCCAAATTAACTTCTATTTTAAACTTCAAAGAGCCCTGTGCTAAAACAAAGTTCTTTGTGAAATCTTATTCAAGAAAGCTGCCCTAGTTCTTTGCCACCCAAACAAAACGGATGCAGGAACTAGCTTACAGATCTTTTTCCAGTCTTGTTTGAGGACCTGCCACCTGAACCGAGTTTGCCGAAGAACACCTGTGTTGAATAAATCCTTAAAAGCTAAGCAAATGGAGCCTAAACAAAGGATTCATTGTGATAGGCCTTCCGAGTTGGCTTCAGCCAACTTATACATTAGTGAGGCCACTGAGAAAACTTTGAAATTGTAGCGGGTCATAAAACCAGGGAGCAAACCATTATTGAAAGTTTCCAGATTCCTAAGGTTAGTGGCAATACCTGTTCCTAATAAAAGAATAAGTAATTTAATTTTTATCAAGTATTTCTTATTGAGACTCAGGGGCACTGTTTCTTCTGCTTCCTAGACCATAGAATCCTAAACATAAATATTGCTAATCAGGGATATAACTAATTACAAATGGTACATTAATATTACAACTGGAAAGCTAGAAGGAGTCTCTGCTGAATGAGCTTCCACACCTAAACTCAAGTCACTTGTTTTCAGTCTTACCAGAACATAGCAAAAACAGTCCCAAAGCTCTGACACAAGATTTTCTGTTCTGTGATAGCCAGATTAGTAACAAATCTACTTTATTGGCCTGACTGCAGGTGAGGAGGCCCAGATCCACGCGAGCTCTGTCTTCTAAATTACTCTAAAAATTGTCTGCAACTTGATACTGGGAAAATCCATCAGGCCAAAATAAAGTGTGTGGGTGGTGAAGGGGCTAGAAGTCTCCAAGGGAAAGGCTGCACGGAGCGCTGGCTGATTTATTGCTCAGCATCTGTGGGAGTGAGAAGCCAATTCCCAGGCCTTGAAGTAAAATGTTTAACATTGCAAAGAAAGTTTCAGCCCATCAGCAAGATAACAGCATGAACAGAATTGCAATAAAAATAGTGCTTTCTGTAGGACTTTAAACTTCTTACTTTAAAGGTTTGTACTGAATTGTATCCACTTGAATTCCAAAGAGCTCCTTGGCTGCATACTTGTATATGTGCTCCAAGTAGCCACCAGAACCACCTCCAGCATGGCTAGTGAGCTCTGCAGCACTACCAAACCTGGGGAGAGGAAGAAAGAAGCAGTTTTAGGGGAATCTTTGATAAAACAGAACAGCCAGCACAAATGCAAAGGTCCAGGGGACTCAACAGCAAAAGAACAAGCCACAGACCAGCTCCCTTTGAGCTCCTAGCTTTTTCCCTTTCTCCTGGGAACCAACTATTTATAGGTTGAGAGTCCAGCAGATTTAACCCTGTGCTGCCTAGCATCCTTTGGGTCACACTCAGTGGAAACACTGTCATATGCCACAACATGGCCTGACCCATGCACTGCCAAGTTAATCTTCACGTATCAAAAACATGTTTGGGAATGTTTGAGTTACAAAGGCAATTACCTGACAGGCATATTTTGTTAGCTTCCTGTTTAAAACCTCTACAAACATCTTGGGTTACGCTTAAGAAGTGCGAGGAGGGAAATAATGAAGCAACGGTGGCACAACCAATGGTGTGCAACCTGTGCTTCTCTTGGAGAACACAGCCTAGCAGAAGTCCCATCTCAGTCAAGAGACATCTCATCAATGCCAAAGCTTTCCTGCAATATCAACAAAAGCAGAGTTCATTACTGCAAGCTCTAGTTCTGTGTTACAATGCGTTTTTTGAAACCAGCTACGTTAGATGCGGTTGCTGGGATGTGAGAGAACGCTTCTGGGAGGTATGCGTGCTGTGATCACAAGCACAGAGGGATGAAATCCGTGTTGCTGTGGTTTCATGTGCTTAAAGTTATGTTACAAAGATGAACAAACCTAATGATGCCAGGACATTTGCTCCATACATGGCTGTCCTCAGCAGGATCCTGGTTCAAGTTCAATGCATTTTTGGTGTTGAACAATTATGTCAACGTAAGTTCTGTAATTCTAGTTCTGCACAAATACTTCCATCTCACTGACATGCCAAAACACAACCAACTATTCAGAGGTCAAGATAATGTTTCTTGAGAACAGCTCACCAGATGGAAGCCAAAACAATAGCTTTTGTTATGAGAAAATAACAAGATGAGGGATCTGCTTATAAGCACTCATCAGGCAGTGACACTTGAATTCTCCTACTAACAGCTGCAGAAGGGAAAACACTTGAATTCAGGCCAAACAATTTAAAGTCAAATCGAAGATGTTGCCTCTTGCAGATAAAATCTCAGCTTTGGAAGAACTGCAGAAGGCAACACTTTAGCCTGCAATCACCCTCAGAAACTATTTTTAATTTGATCTTGTTTACAGGAACTGAGCTTCATTAACAACATGTTTCAGTGTGTCTGGTCTCACGTACTGCTACTCTCTTAAAATGAGGCTGCCAGTAAGCTTCAGTGCTGGCCTGGAACAAACGGTTATACCAGCAAAAGTCCTGGGATTTCTGGCACTTTATCTCATTCTTGCTGCCAAATGTAATAACCTCTTAATGGGCTCTTCCACGTGCTGGAGGATAAAGCAGAACAACAGCCGTTGGACTGCTTATGTGAACAATCCAAGTTCTGAGGAATACGTGCTGTTTGTAACCAGTCAATTTACTGAGTATGTTAAAGCTAGCAAAACGTTATAGAGGCACTTTATCGCCACAAGCATGAGGCCTACTGCTCAGAATGTACTCCTAAGAAGCTGGCCAGAGATTTTTATCAAGTAATTAAGACATTCAGTTCTATGTTATAACTGACACTTCCATAATGTCATTTCCTAAGGGAACCCAAACACTTCAGAATCTTTTTTTCTCCTCCATTTTTCTGTTAGTGGTGTAACAATAAAACAGGTAGAGCAGAAGTATTTGTTTATGTGGGCAACTTCTGAAGTTGTACTTTTGGGACTCAACCATGCAGACATTTATTATAGCTGAGGATGCTTTTCTTTTTTGATGCGAAAGCAACCTGTGCACATGCTATGTCAGAAAAAGACACTTAATCCTGGAAAAAGTGTGCATAAACAGATCTGTGCTAGTAAATGTGCTATGTGAAACCTACACCTACCAATCTACTGAAATCTAGCAGAAGGAGACCGAGGTTCTGGGCATGTACATCATTTTAAATCTCTCTTAAATTAAGTATTCCTTACACGAAAGGGATTGGACGGCAACAGACCGTTTCTACCTCACATTCTCCTTCTTTTCAGAAGCACAGGAGTGGACAATATTTGTAACAATTAAAACTAATCTAGGAAATAGGCCTCATGCAAAGACACTGCCCTTCATATCTCTGTCAACATACATGTGCTGATCAGACCAATTCTCGAGCAAAGGCTGCCAATGGCACTTGGTTGTACTAGAAAGACTTGAAGCCTATTTAGAAATAAACCAAATTTCAAAACAAGAGTGTCACATCTGCAAGGGGTACAGCTGAAAGTAGACTGGTGTCACATTCTATTCACATGTTTGATGCTGCATATCTGGGGTATCAAAATCTCTCCTAAAAACTTCAGATGCCTGAGCAGTAAATTTTTGAACCATACACTTAATAATCTCTTATAATTCTTAAAGGCTGCTGCACATGTATCCTTTCTGTTTATTAATGTGCAAAGTGCTACAAAGACGTTTCTTTTAAACTGAAGAAATGAATGCTTTAGTTTAGTGTTCAGTGTGGAACCATCACTGCATGTCAATTTGGATGAGTAAAATGTGATTTTAATGTTTCCGTAGTCACTTAGATCTCTGTGCAGTTGTCACTTAACCAGATGTTACTTTTCAGTTCAAGCAACTAAAGTCTCATCTGGTTTGCACATGTTTTACATCTCATTTTTTAAAAAATAAGGACTCCTAGATAGTCGTTGAGTGACCTAAATATTTCTTATTTATGCTTTAATTCTGGAATCCTTACAGTAGCTCTGATAACTAGGAACAGAGACAAGCAAACTGAGTACAGTGCAACAACAGGCTTTGTTTTAGCAAACTCTTTTATCACTGATCTAGATTCTTTCACTTTTCAAAGTTTGCAGGTAGATTTTTGTGGGATTCTACCAGCTATACTGTGAGTAACAGTAATTGAAGTAAATGACTGCAATGCAAATTTCTCTGCACAATTATTTTCCCATTATACTCTTACTAGGCTAATTCTAGCAATCCTGCTGATTTACAGTGAGAACTGCTAATCCTTGGGCTACTAAAATCTAGAACAAATAGTTACAGATTCTCCAAAAGTGGAACTTCATCATATTCTGTAGACTAAATATTTTAATGCACAATTGTACTGATTCAAATGACACAAGAAAACAAATCAAACGCAAACTCATGCAGCCTTGTGCAGAACAGTAGTGGAAAGGCAAATTCTGTTGAAGAACTCCATAAACACTGGATGCAAAAGAACATGACTGAAGATGCAAATGAGATTTTGTTCTTACATGGTATCCAATGGAGCAGGATCTACATCCGATAGAGATACTCCTTCTTGTTCCAACAACTTTAGCACTTCTCCTAAAACAGAAACACAGACATAAAAAGTTCTTATTTTTGGGATAAAGGAAAACAAAATCCATAAGTACTTAAGACTGCATCTGCAATTTTTACCAGGACATGACTTGCATTATTAAAGTATAATTATACAGCAATGTCCATACACTACATCCTCTATCAGACACAAAGAGTTATTAAAACTACCAAACGCCTTGCTCTGAGGCTGCCAGGAAATTAGCTGGACTACCTCTGGCTCTGCTTACCTGTGGTGATTACACAGTCCACATCACGAGTTTGGTACTCTTGGTTAAAAAAGTCTGGCCTTGAAGCCTCTAGCTTTTTGTCATAACAGGGCATCACTGTTACATGGTATATCTGGTCAGGTGTTAAGTGCTGGAAGAAAGACAAAGCTGTGCAGTTGGATTGGCCAATATAAAACCTATCCTGAGGGAGATGTTGAGGGAATGGTGAAACTAATGCCCACCATGCCTCCGCAAATACTCCCCACTTACTGATTATTTTTTTTATATATGTATATACACACACATTTATATATACACTAAATTATTTCTCTCATAGAACCCAATTTTAGTTTGTAGCAAGTGTCAGCAGTACAGTCTTTTACCGTTTTTCCCCCACTTCCTTTTCCTAGTGCAGGTGATCCAAAGTCGGTCAGTGAAGTGAATTCCTAATCACGCAGTTAGAAAATATGCTTCCTCCACACTACTAAAACCCAGCCCCTGCATCAGCAACCAAGAAATATCTGGCGTCAGACAAAAACCTCATGACCATCCAAGAAATAAGCAAAAGCCGAGGAAACAAGTCATTGACTCAAGGCCATTGTTTCAGTATCTTGTGCCAAATATTCTTAGGAGCTGCCAATTTTTGTAGCAAGCATGCAGATGTCAGCATTTACTTAATACAAGTGTTAAACCACTGCTCATTAATGGACAATAAATCATACAATCAGAAGTGGTGCTTAAGTTTCTTACTGGACAGATCTAGGCTATTAGTACAACTCTAGTCTTTAAATGTCAAATTTACATTTGGAAATATTCCAAAGGTTAAAGACTGAGAACAGAACTAAGTCAAACTGAAACAGAACATTAAGTTGGGAACAAGCAAGTTTTTAGACAAGACATGATCTGCACGTATGCACTGACTGAAGTTTTGTCTTAAGATCATTTATTTTGTTATTCACCAACTTTAAACAACATGAAAATACCACACACAGACAAGATGGGAGCACAAAGACACTGGGAAATAAGTTTCTCAAGCCTTCCCAAATAACATGCAGAGGTTTTAAGAAGTCCATGCAGCATGTGCTTAGCGCTACTGCCCTAGTTGCTAACTTCTCATTAGATAAAATAGGAGTGAGAAAGATGCTGCCTTTGCTGCCTCCTGCAAGATAATTTTTACCTTTAAACTCTAATGTATAACACATAGCAAAATAAAAAAAAACAAAACAGTTTAAAGTGTTCAATTTTAGCAGTCTGCCATTAAGCATAGCATACTTCAGATCCTTACCTGCTGTTCTGCAAAATGGCCCTTGATCAAGGAGCCCATGACCTGCTGTGGGGACTTGGTGGTACTGATATAAGGAATGATGAAACTGCCATGGGTTTTCTCTGCATAGCAGATCCAACCTGGTAAGAATATAATTAGCAGATTAAATTAAAAAAAACAGGCAGCCCTTCACTCTGCCCACCCTCCCGCCAACCCCAGGCTTAGTACCTATTAATAACTGTTTTCAGTGTCACCTCAGTGCAAAAAGCAAAGGAAGCGTAACACAAGATTCATTTCAGAGATCATCAGGTAACTGTACAGATCACTACTGCTATTAACGCCAAGATCTCTTTGTACCATGAAGACAGTAATCCTCTAAGTAAACTTATCTATTTAAACTCTTCTGACTAGCTTTTTGACTTTTTGGTCCAGTGTACTATTCGCATGCCATTTTATTATTTCCATGACTAATTTAATACCATACCTGGACAGGCAGAAGCTAGCATTGGCAAAGCCTTTTTGTCTTCAGATTGCTTTCGAAAGCGTTTTACAAACTCTTGTTGGCTCTCCAACAGGCTGAAGTTTCTTGAGAAAGTTGTATCAAAAACATAGTGGACACCTAGGCAGTACAGCATCTGTGTTAAAATTCACAAAGATACAGCAAACTACAACAAAAAGCCTCCAGTCAATCTGGATTCAAACTGCATGTCTTATTTACAGGTGTCAACCTCTGCAGTTGAGAGTGAACCTTTTTCCCTAGGACATCAGCACAGTAACACCAGCAAAAGTGACAGGAGAATGGCAAATCTAAAATTTAAAGTTCCTTCCTTCCATCACTCCAAGTTTATTATGTGACTGAAGTTGTAGACAGTTTGCATTTTAGCTAACACCAATTAGGAAACATTATGAGTCCATGAGGAGGTTCAATCACACCAACCTTGTCCGCTCGTAACAGTTATGCTTAACATACACCCCAGTAGTCCCTCCGTGATTAACAGAACGCGATACCACACTTGCCTAAACTCTTTAAGAATGCAGTCAACTTCTTTGCTGTTTCCAGAACACCCATTTTACATCTTGCAGCTAGTGAAGCTCTGGATTGTGGTGAAACAGAAACCACCACCAATTTCTGTTCATTGGGAGTGGCAGTCTTTGAAAAAAAACAAACAAATAACAACACTGTTCAGACAATATTAATATGGCACATGCAGAACTTTCAGCACACCAGAACACCAGAGCGCATCTCCCAGCTTAACTCTGAAGTCAGTAACTTACTAAAGGTCCTTGCGAAACCCATGATTACTTTTAAAAAATCAGAAAAAACATAACAGTGCACTGAGAATGTTCTCAGATCCTTCAGATCTCTGAAACTAATTTTTATACGTGCTGTTTCCACGCATGCTTCTGCAGATGCATCACACCAATCCATTAAGACTTTCAAACTCCGCAGCCTACCTAGCCATGACTTGTCACCTACCTTGTTAAAAGTTAGCATTTTGCAGAGCTCTTCATGGCTCTGTTGAGTGATTAAAACACTCTCTGCTGATGTAATGCAGCCACTACAAGCTAAACAGTCGTTCAGAGTAATTTTCGCCTTTTCCAGTTTCTGTGCTCCTCCATCCTATAAAGAAACAGAATACACTCAGTTCTGATCACAGTGTAGAATTAGGTAGCTGTTTTCCTACCTTTACTATATTTGGTAACAAAGATGTTGCCCTTTTTATGCTCTCCATTTATCATAAAAAAAAAAAAAAAATCTTTCTTTTTAGTAAGATGAGGAAGAAGACAAGTACCTTTGAAGTTTGCTGCTTTTAATAGGATTACTTGGTGCACAGATGCAAAGACACTGAGGAACCTCAGGAAAATTTTAGCAAGACCAAGAACATAACTTTCATCAAATACAGAACAGTTGTTTAGGCCACAATTACTTGTGCTGTCTGGTGGGCTCACATTGCTCCAAAACACTGAAATTATACTATCTCAGAAGCAAATACAGTCTATCTTGCTTGTTTTTTTGACTTGTGGGTGGCTGAAGACTAGGTTAGCATGGCTAACATACTACAGATTGCAGCTGCTATTTTAACCACAGAGATCCTAAGCCTTCAAGCATCGATCTCTAGTGTGCATTGAGTATTACCCTGGAAAAATCATGCCAGCTTTGTGACCTCTATCAGATGCTGCTCATGTTATTGAATACCATTGGAGCTGTTTCTTCACAGGAACTTGAATTTCACTCCTTCTAAATAGATTGTGTAACCAAACTACAGGCTCGCTGACATTTTTAGTCGATACCGAGTGTTCTGCAATCTTTCTGTGTGCAAAACTTACATCGACACTGATGGGAAAACCGTATGGCAGCATATCAAAGACAGTGTGTGGCTTGCCACTGGAAGGAAGTATTTTTCATAATATTTGACCTGAATAAGTCAGTTTTCCCATGAGACTCTCCTCTTAAACTTCACTTCTCAATAAAGTCAGAAACAGACCAAGCAATTAGGTACTATTAAATTAAAATTTTAAAATAAGAAACCAGACTCCTTTGGAAGTGCCCTATCCCCCTTTTTTAAGTTAAAAGGTCATCATCTGCCTAAAGTTAAGAGTATCATTTCTAGATGAATTCCCAGTTTGGTTAACCAAGAAATGCTAATCTTTTCTGTGTAAACAGGAAAATTGTTCTGCAAAACTTGGCATTCATTTTGGAAGCAGGAGGCTTATGAATTCTGCAGGCTATTTAAAAAATAATTTGAAATATTATTAAAAAAATGAGAGCAAAATTTAAGAGTATCTAACTGAATCTCTTTGTGAGTGCTCTGCTGTATGACATAATGCAGTAAGAAAAGACATTGTTGCAAATAAACTAGGAATTGCTAATACTCAAGCATTGATGGCAAAATAGATTTCTCAGCTTATCTACTCTTATACTGAAAACCATCACTAATTAATGTCAGCGTTTCAGAGCATAAAAGACTGACAGAAAATCAGAATTACTGCTTAGAAAACCAGGTAATTAAAAAGTTGGACTTTGAAAAACAGATATGAGAATGCTGACAGCAATAGCAACATTTTTCTAACATCTCACTCCTCTGTGAGGTATTAAACAGCTGTAGACTATTCAAATACTTAACAATACACTCATGTTTTCTAGGTATTTTACACAATAATGAAGAAAAATCGCACATACCTGATTGATCTGAAAATAGCTTCCATCTGCTTCAATTCTGATCTTAGCTGCTGCTTTTTCAGGCTTTTTTTCCACTTTTACAGGTTTGATACATTCCTGAAAGAGAAATAAAGCCTGAAAGTGAGGAGATGATCAACAAAGAGGTAGATTTAATAGAAACTAGACTGATCAAAGCCAAACACTAGTTCTAGAGTGAATGCTGCTTACTCTCCCTTAAGCTATGCTGGATTTACTTCCAGCGTTATAACCACCAAGGGAAAATGTAAAAGCAAAAACTTCTTACCCCTTTTTTACAGAAGGAACACTTTTCCAGCATCATACCAAAAACAGAGGACAATTTTGCTATTCTTTCTGAAGAATGCAGCTATGTTTTACAGAGCCTTGAAAGCAACAGAGGCTTGCCTGCACAGTCCTCCTCCCTAAAATCTTACAGATGATCGTGCATTCTTCATTGCAAATTTTAACCGATGGAGGCGTGGTCAGTACAGCCAACACGTGGCTAGTGCCAATGAAGTTTCATTTAATGTCGAAAGGACTCTGACGACCTCAGATGGACTGCTTCCAGCTTTTTGTATTGTTCTATGATGAAGTCTCAGGGGTGTTTTTGCTTTTTGTGCTATTTTTATTGTTTAGGCACCTTATGACTCCTTGTCCTACTTCTACAGCTAGGATTTCCTTTGCCTTTTACCATCCTTGCTCTACCAACATCTTCAGGTTTCCCCCCCTAGATTAATCCAGCTTTACTACATTTTGCAAGATTCAGAGACTAGCAGGAACAAGTTATTATGATTCTTCAGTTATGCTCGCTGAATAAAACAACGAGCTCTACTTGAGACAGAAAAGTGGGTCGCATTAGTTACATGAAAGACTTCACTAGGAAACCCAAGTACTGCGAAGAGAGTTAATGAGGTTTGCTATGCGCCATTCCTCTGATCTCATTTCAGCACAGTTTTTCTGCTGTACTTGTCAGCAAATACATCCAGGATTACTATTTTGTACTTTCGCTAGTGCTTGAAGACTCCGAAAGGAATAGTCTTGACCTGTTGTTGCTGCTCATTCCCACCTCTCTGCCACCCGCTCCTGTACGCTGACATGAGCACCTGTGCGGATGAGCAGCGTGCAAGGAAACTTGTTCAGGCTTAAGCTTTTTTTTGGGGGGGATCTAGATTAACATTTAATAGGGCAGTTTCCAAATCGGGGTGGGAATGACCGACTGGCTGCTGCGCCAAGATTTCTCTCTTTAGCTGCTTACAAAGGCTTGCACCGGTCAGTGTTCCCTGCCCTCTCTATTCCCTGCACACTGGCTCGAAGAAACGCCGAGGTATCTCCTCGCTTTTTTCCTTTAACCGTTTTATTTACAGCACCCGAAGGACGTCTGAAAGGGCCGGCCCTGGCCCCTTTGCCCCCCAGCGCCCTGTGCTGCCTCCCTCACGCTGCCAGGCCGAGGGGCCCTGCCCAGGTCGAGAGCTGCTGTCCCGGCCGGCAGCACGGCCAGGGCTGTCACCCACCTCCCCTCAGCACCATC